CTTGGATATTATCTACTTGAGTTCTATCAAATTCATTAATCACAAAATCCAACATAGGTCATTTGTCATTGCTATGGTAGACCCCAGTTTTCTCAATCAAAAAACCCTAAAAAAGTAACCTCAAATAATAGTCTTAGCTTGGGTTTAGAAGATGGGGAAATCACATTTGGGTAGATACTTTCCTCTTTGACAATGATATGCATATTCCAAAAAGAAATGGTCATATTGGAGCCACATAAAATAGTCAATTAACGTCCCAGTTATGCAGTGTATGTAAATTATTGTAAGTGGCATCTAATGAAGACTTAATTTTTATTTTATTCTTTTATTAGAATGAAGGCTTAATGATGCATTATATATTTTAGCAAATGAATCACAACTGCAGATTGCTTATTGAAGTTTGTAGACCATGCTTTTTATGAAAAATATGAAAATAGATTATTTGACATTGTTTTAAGGATACGGTGTCTCACTTTTGTACTTCTTTAGCTCACTTGAAAGCACATAATCAACATGATTTAAATGAATTCATGGAACCAAAAGTTCCTCCAAGGTGTTGTTAAGAGTTCTAGATAAGTACTTTACCCTTTTGTTTGAAAGATAGATTCGTAAGTTGAAATCTAACTTCAAAGAAATGCTTGTTAGTGAGCGTGCGAAGAGCTGCATCCACCTCCAAAACATTCACAAAATGAAATAGTTCCACTTTAAAGGATATGGTTATCAATGCCTCTCCCATGCACATGACCAACTTGATCAGGCCTTTATCAGGGTTGCCTTTGTAAGGAACTCTTCCTAAAAATACAAGTTCATCTAAATCATATTTTCATAATATTGATCATAATCCAACTTTTCATATCTTTAATTTAAACATATATGAATTGGAGAATTCACAACGTCCATTACTGAGTGGAAACTGTCGACCTATACATAAATTACCATTATATAATGAATATAGAAAGTAACATACCAGTCTATTACAATCTCACATAGAAGAAATAAAGAAAAAACTAAGTATTGATTGTATAATGTTGAGCCAACTGATGGAGAAATGGTTCATTGGTAAGCTCCTCTACACGTTTTAGCACCATTCAATTGCTACAAACATAAATAAACTACATTTATTGAACATAGTCTCTTTGTTTTCGTATCGAATTGCATTTTAAAAATCACTATTCATGGTTAAAATAACACATACCAGGAAAACCTCAACAACTTCCAACTCCACTCATAAACATTGGTTATGCTTCACCGACTTTGTTGGGTTGCCCTGTCAAACATTTCTCCACTACCACATCACCTATTGTGGTTCATATCCACACAAAAGAACTCCAAATTTCAAATTGTAACATAGATACATGTACAAACAACAACAAATTTACTTAAAAATTTGAAAAAAGGAGCATTATCCCAGCATTAGGAACATTAACTAGGGGACCAGAACATGCAATCCAAAGTTGATTATTATGTAAATCATTTTGCTCACCCAATGACAAAAACATACCTACATTAGCAGCACATTAACGTATCATGTATGTATGTCTGTATATATGTATTATATAGAGGTAGAGATGTAGTAGCTAGTATTAGGTATGAAGTGTCAGAAGACTAACAGTCAAAACGTTTTATAAAGAAACACTATTGGACTTAAAAGCATAGAAAGAGAAGGAACTATTTGGTTCAATATTAATAATTGCATTAATTAACAATTAATTGATTGTATGATAAAGGGGAAATTGGTTACAAATTAGAAGATGGAGAGGCAGTTGGTCACAGAAGTGGTTACTTTTTCAAGGGTAACAATTGTTTAAGAAAGTGGAAGCTGAAGAGTTTTAAGTCAGTCTTGAACATTTAATTGATTAAAAGGATGTTAATGTCATTTTCATATATTATAGGGACATTAGTTATAACTCGTGCCTGAAAGCACGATAAAATATAAAATTTGAGCGTCCAAAAAATCGATCATNTGAGTACCAAACTAGAGATACCTGGTGTTACTATTGTTCTCCATGCAGATATTTCACATGGATATTCCATGCAAATATCATGGGATGGCAGTGTCTTACAATAGTCTATGTAAACTCCAGTAAATTCTATTGACTGTTGGCTTTGAGNGCTGAAGAGTTTTAAGTCAGTCTTGAACATTTAATTGATTAAAAGGATGTTAATGTCATTTTCATATATTATAGGGACATTAGTTATAACTCGTGCCTGAAAGCACGATAAAATATAAAATTTGAGCGTCCAAAAAATCGATCATACTATATTAAATTTTTTAAAAATATATTAACTACAAATTAATTAAATATTAAATGATTAAATAAATGAGAGAAATGAGTGGTGTGATATTTTTAGGGAGAAAATATATAAATGATTAAATATGTGATAGAAATGAGTGATGTGAGTTGACGTTTGAGTCTGATAAAGGGATGATGAGTGAGGTAAGTGACTGATGATAGTTTGAGGGGAAAAATATGACTGAAATAAAATTCAAACACATTCTTGTTTTATTATATAGATTTTAGGTAGTCAAAAGTTTTTCCATGATCTTGACATTTTAAAATAGTATAGATAATCCCTCGATTGTTCACATCAAAATAATCGGTTCTCAACTTTGCAATATCATTCAAGAGAATGTGTTTTTTATTTTTATCTCATTTTATATCCACAATATTATTCATTATGCCTACCCTAGTCTACGAAGAAGTGATTTCCCCTGCACAACAGAGAAAGAGAGAGATAGACATATAATAAATAGAAAATAGAGAGCCATTGGATCAAAAAAGAGGAAACAAAATTGAACCATTAATCAATAATATATGAACAAATCCATCCACAAATATGGCACCAACACATCAAATCCATCACCCTCCATCACGAAACCAAGATCGAAACCTAGGACCGAATCACCCATTACAAAACAAGTACGCACACACCAATCAATCACCCCGAGTCAAACACACACACCAATCAATTTCCCCTAGTCAAATACAAACGTGTGAACCCTAATTGCAATGAATACAAGAGAATTTTAAACATGTGAAAGTGAGGGGTGGACGTTGAACGTAGATGTTTAATTTTATACAACATTATATGATACATGAAGCAACAAATAATTTACAATCACATTCCATTGTGCCACATGTGCACTAGAAATGGAATCCTTGAACTTCTCATACTTGAACTTCAAAATAGAATCCTAACTCCGTCCCTGAATGTACCTTTTGTCAAAAAATGACAAAAAAATTATGCAATTGGAGCACTTATTCATGAGAGCATGTCTCTTACACTCAAAAAATTGATGGGCTTCAATGTGAAAATACTTTTGGTGGAGTGTTGTTCTACTTTGATGACAAAAGTCTAGGTAACCTTGGGAAAATATTTTCTATAGTGGGAGTAAGATCCTTTTTATTATATTTTTTTTTTATGTATTTTTAGGGGAAAATTGTATGTCTATGAATTCAAGTGAGTCTTATTGTATTTAAGTGAATCTTATACTAATACACATTGATAAATGATTTGCTAACAGAGAAGGAGAAAAATTTAATGGGGAAGATATGAATCTTTTTATAGACTTTCTCTAGAATATTGTAACTAATAAAACTTAAGAGCGTGAGGAAACAAATAACTAAACGAATCACAAAATTTGTAGGTTTCAAAATGTGCTCTAAAATTAGTTAGTTTATCCATAGGGTCTTATTCAACAAAAATGTCACAAATGTAGAGGAAACAAATAACCGAACGAATCAGGAAATTTGTCAATTTCGAAATGTGCTCTAAAATTAGTTAGTTTATCCATTATAGGTATTCAATCCATAACTAAATTCATTAAAAAAGGAGTGCCAAATGTATGTGATTTTCCATATGAATAAATAATATTATTGCAAGTTGTACAAAAACCATTTATAGTAACGTATCTAAATAATCCCCCGACGGTTCACATCAAAAGAATGTGTTTTTTATTTTTATCTCATTTTATATCTACGATATTATTGATTAGGCCTACCCTAATCTACAAAAAGGTGTTTCCCTCATGCACAAGAGAGAGAGAGAGCCCTTGGGTTCAAAAAAGAGGAAACAACCATTAATCAATAATATAAGAACAAATCCATCCACAAATATGCACCAACACATCAAATCCATCATCCTCCATCACGAAACCACAATAAAAACCCAGGACTGAATCACCTATTACCAAAGAAGTATGCACACACCAATCAATCGCCCCTGAGTCAAATACACACACCAATCAATCACCCCCAAGTCAAATACAAATGCGTGAACCCTAATTGCAATGAATATGAGAGAATTTTAAACATGTGGAAGTGGGGGTGGAAGTTGAGTGTAGATATTTAATTTTATACAATATTATATGATACACGAAGCAACAAATAATTTTCAATCACATTCCATTGTGCCATAGTTGCACTAGAAATGGGGTGAAAATGAATTTTTCTTTTTTTTAGAATAGCCCCAACATTATGCTGAATTACACTATCCCCTGCCAACTTTCTCTAGTCTATCACACATCTTGACCCCACCCTCCCAATACTTGTTTATTTTTTTTTTTCTTTTGGCGAACTCTCTCAATACCTTCGTTTACTTCCCGATATTCACATATCGTTTTATTTCTTTCGTCTGGGAGCAGTATTTCAGGTTCGAGGAACCGACCTTCGATGCTAACAAGCGCGCCTTACTGTCTTCGTTTATTCCATTAACGCGACACAGGTCTAATCTTCTCAATACCTCCATATTAAACATCACTAGCTCTGGTTACAAACCCTAGTATTTTTTTAATATTATTGTAGACAATGATATGCCATTGTAATATGCTCAGTAACTTGCTGATTAGAATGAAATTTGATGTGTTTTTATGCATATGGTTTCATCTGAATTGCAGGGTATTTTTCAGTTTTGGGTTAGCTTCAATTTTGCGGTATGTGGCGTTGAATTATTGAAAGAATAGATGTTTTAGGTGATATGATTCTTTTGATGAGTGAGAGATGGGATGTGATGGTTTGGAATCAGAGTCAATTCAAGGGTTGCAGGTTGGGTCTGTGAAAAAAACTGGAATAGGGTTAGATGTGGAGGGTGTAGGAGGTAAAACTAGGGTTAAGAATATGGATGGGGTGAAAAAGAAGTTGGGTTCTAAGCGAAAATCAATGCCCATTTTTGTTGGGATCAATTCGAATGACGATGAGCCAATAGGGTCGTTGCTTAAGTTGAAGAGCAAAAGGAATGGTAAGAGAGTTAAGGTGGGAGTAGATGGTGGTGGAAACAAGGGCAAAGAGGTTGAGGTTAGGTTTGATGGACTGGTGGCAGAAGATGAGGATTTGGGAGGTATGAATGATACATTGGCTAATTTTAAGAAGAAGTTGAAGGGACCCAAGAAGGACAGTGGGTCTGGGATAAGCATAGGAAGGAATTTGGATATGAATGTAGCGGAGCCATCAGGTCAGTCTTTGAATTGGCCTTTGAAGACTGTGGAGAAGAATCAGGTTACTGTTGGTAATGGATCTGATGGGGTTGTCAATAAAGTGTTGGAGGATAAGCGTAAAGGGAATACTAAGAGATCCAAGACTGCATTGACTTCGAAGAAAACTGTGGCTGATGCTGAGCTTGATGTCGCTTTGGATGGTGAGGAAGCCTCTAATCACTATTTGGATGAAAATTTAGAAGATTCATTGTCTTCCTTCCTTAGAAAAGCCCAATCTGGTCTAATTAGGAATTGCAGTTCTGTGAAATCAAAACAGATAGGGGGAACTCAAGCTTCACGCAATGGATTGAGCCCAAGCTCTGATACTGTTCCAGAGGTTCCTCTGCCATTGTTTGAAAGGAGATCTCTATCTGGTTCAGAATCGCTGACAAAAATACCAGAATCTGATGGCAGCTTGTGTCCCGTCTCTGGCAGATGGTCAATATATTCAGCCTGTGATCAGTCTAAGATTGAGATATATCCGAGGTCTAACGATACATTGTCTCAATTTTCAAAAGGCATAGAAGAGAGTGTATTACCTGGTGCTCCAGGGCAGGATCTTTCTTCTGCTCCAGTAATCACTGACGAGGCTTTGAGATCCAGTGGTAGCATTTTAGGGGATTCAGTTCCCATTTCCTTACTTCAAAGATCTGAATCTGGTTTAAGGTCATGTTCTAACAAAATTACAGGATTCCTTGAAGGTGAAATACATTGGCGAACTAATGGGTGTCCAGAACAGATGGAGCAAATCAGTAAATTCGATGAGGCAGTGGGAACAGGAGGGCATCATGATGAGTTGTATCAACAGTCAAAGGATATTTTAACGAGCCACACTTCAAGTACAGATCAGAGAATTTGCTATACCTTTGGAAAAGAAGTTCAGCAGCCTTGTCTCTATAATGATAAATTGAACCGGCCATTGGAAGATACATCTCTGTGGACCAATGCACGTATTTCTGGTGAATTTTTGGGTCCATCAGCATCCCCATCTCAAAACTTATCAGCATGCAATCAGAAGACGCGTGTGGCCATAAAATCTGAAGATAGGCTTGATGTGAACCAGAGTCAATCATCATCTTCCATTTTTGGTTCATCTCAGAAGAAAGTTACATCTTTTGACTGTGATGGTCCAAATGGAATTATAGGTACTTGCATTGCAGAGCCTGATTTTGCTTCAGTTTCTTTACAAAAGGAGGATGCCTTGTTGTCTGGCAATATACGGTCTCCAGTTTTTCCAGGTGAAGTCCATAAACATGAAGATTTTCTCCAAATGGAACACCAGAAATCATTAGAGACTGGTGATGACTCTAATCATTTATCTGAACAGCCTCACAATGATTGTGTTTCTTCAATTCAGAAGTATAGCTCTAGTTTGCAGCAAAATGAACCTCCTGGTGATGTGTATAGAGGTGCCCTTGTTCCAAGTAGTGACTATATTTCTGGAGATGAAGAGGCTAATGGATCCTCTTCTCCATCAATTACGCCAGGCCAAACTGAAAGTTGTGCTGAAGTTACAGGATATGCGCCTAATCCTAAAAGTAAAGACAATAAGCTATCAGCAGGCCAGCGGGCTGTGCGCGAGGCTAAAAAGCGTAGGAATGGGGACATGGCTTATGAGGGGGACGTTGATTGGGAGTTTTTTATGCATGAGCAAGGTTTTCTTCGACACCATCAGGTAGGAGATTGTGAGCAGTCCTTTAAGGCAAGAGGAAAGTTCAATTCTCCTTCAGCTATGACTTCAGAGGCTGAAAATGGTGGGGCAGCCGCAGTGTCAGCTGGGCTGAGAGCTCGTGCAGTTGGTCCAGTTGAGAAGATTAAATTTAAAGATGTATTGAAGCGCAAGGGTGGGCTTCATGAATATTTAGAGTGCAGGTTTGTTGCCAATTATGAATCTAGCTGTGATGCTTTGTCTGTTATGGGATACACTTTGTGTTATACATGTCAAATACATGCTATCATCCGCAAGTTTGATTGTTTGAAGCAATCGTATCATGGCTTTTTTTTTCTTTTAATTTCAGTTCCGACTGTGTCATGCTATTTTTTTGTTTTAAGTACTTAAATTGTGCTTGAAGATTTTGCACTTGGTATGTGGTTGTTTTGGTGTGTGTTTTGAATTCATTTCATTGGAACCTAGCTAGTTTTAATACAACTGCATTGGATGTCGGCCACAACTTCTATGTCATTTGATCAAGCCACAAATGTATGCAACAAAAGAGAAATTTTTTTTTTACTGCAACTTGAGTAATTGAGATACTGGCACCATATCTTTTTACCTCGCTGTAAAATTTAGTCTGGTGTGTACTCCTTAGTCTTGTATACATAATGACTTTATGATGCCAGAAGAAAGCTATGAGACGGGTTTGAAAACTTTGGTTTGAAGACCCTCCCTGGATTTAGTGGTATGCATGATGAGCCTCTGAGTAGCCTGGTATATGCTGTTGAGTCCTGCCTGTGGACAGAAATTAATCATGTATGGAATGATAGTTGCAGTTAATGCTGGCATGAATTGAAATATATATATATTTTTTACTTTCAGATGATTTGATTAGCTTTTGTGTATGATTTTGAGATTTGGCATGATTCTGGGATAAAGTGTCAGTAAAGGAGTTTATTGTGCCGATGTTTCTAGGGGATTTTTCATTCAGAGATATCAAATAACAGTTCTTTTGTTGGTGGCTATTGAGTTCTCAATTTTTTGGTAACAGTAGGAACCATTTTCACAGTATATTTCAAAATAGAATGAGACATTGCAATTCCAGAATGGAGGTGGCTGCATTGAGTTTGAAATAGGTATTGGAATTATAGGAGAGAACCCATGGATAGCGACAGTTCATGCATAATATACCTTTTTATTTGTCATTTTTGTTGCTCTTACCCTTCTTGAGACATTTTATGGAAATTATACTGAAATTACTGTCAGTATCTCATTGTGTTGTTTTGATAGAAGCTTTTAGATCTTATAGGATGTTTGTTATTTGCTAAACTGTCATTCTTTGTTTATCAAAAGAACTGCATATTATTATTATGTTTGTTAAGACCAACTGATGCTTCGGATACAAAATTAACCATGCCTTTGTTGTCTGCTTTGATAATATCTGCCTTCTCCCTTGGACTATGGTGCAATGCAGGAATCATATTATAGGTCTTTGGAATAAAGATATCAGTCGCATTTTGCCTCTGTCAGATTGTGGAGTCTCTGATGTCCCTTTGGTTGATGAACCACTGCGTGCTTCTCTAATTCGGGATGTGTACGCATTTCTTGATCAATGTGTAAGTCCATCAACTTCTTCTTTTCTCTGTTTTGCTTATAAGAATTGATGCATCACTTGTTTCACTTTTATCCTTATTGTTGTTCTGGTGATTTACTATTTTTCATCCTTTCGTTGTTTGAAGTATTTTTCAAATATTGGTTGTCATTTTTTGAGTAATTAACAAGTGTTCAACAGGGATACATAAATATTGGAGCTGCCTCTGAAAAGAGTAGAGCAGAAAATGGCGCTAAGCATGACTTAAAACTTCTAAAAAAGGAAAATTTTGGGGAAAAATCTGGGGCCCACATTGCTGATTCAGATGATGGAGTTTCCTTTATCCTTGGGAGGGCTAAGAGTTCTGAGATTTCCATGGTGAGAAAGAAGGATGTTGTATTTGATGATGAAAACCGAGCAGCAAGAGCCAAAATAGACTGCAGGCTTGTAGATCCCCAGGCTTTGGAGTTATCTACGCCCACCGATGATGAAGGATGCCCAGTTGTTGCTTACCAGGAAAATGGTTGCATTGATGCAAAACTGCCCAGCAGAATTGTCGATTTGGATCTTTTGAGTTCAGTTCCTTCCAGTGAAGTAGAGAACAATGGAACTATCCCTGTCATGTCATTAGATTCAATTCCTTTGATTGAAACAGAGGAGGGTGGAACCATTCCTGCCGTACCTCCGAAGCTTCCAAAATGTTCCTATTGTGTTCAATCTACCTCATTTGACGAGGGGAATAATCATATGAAGTGTGATTCAGAAGACAGAAGGAGAATTATTGTAGTTGGAGCTGGTCCTGCTGGCTTAACTGCAGCACGCCACTTGCAGCGCCAAGGTTTTTGTGTTACTGTGCTCGAGGCTCGGAGCAGAGTAGGGGGTCGTGTTTTTACGGATCGTCAAACTCTTTCAGTTCCGGTGGATCTTGGGGCTAGCATTATTACAGGTGTTGAGGCAGACGTGGCCACTGAAAGAAGACCAGATCCTTCTTCACTGGTTTGTGCTCAATTGGGTCTTGAGTTGACTGTGTTGAACAGTGACTGTCCTCTTTATGATTCTGTAAGCGGCCAGAAAATTCCTGTAGATCTGGATGAAGCTTTGGAAGCAGAATACAATAGCCTACTTGATGACATGGTACTGCTTGTTGCTCAGAAGGGGGAACATGCTATGAACATGTCTCTCGAGGATGGTTTAGAATATGCCCTGAAGAGTCATCGCATGGTTCAATCTGGAAGAAGTTGCAAGGAAAGTAAAATGCATACATTACAAAATGTTTTAGCAG